TTAATTTAAAATAAAATATATAAAAATAATAATAAAAATGATCTAAAAATAAAATATATACAAATAATAAAAAGAAAATGATCTAAAAATATTTCTGATAGCTCAACAATAATATAATATAATATTAAATGTTGGAAAACTTCTGCTGTTGATTATCAAACTATTGTTTTTCATATTTTTATTGGGGCGTTTAATCTAAATATTCTGGATGAAGATTGCACAATGAATTAGATTAAAGAGTGTGCACATGTGTCTCACCTAGTCAGGCCGATTTTCTTGGCTGCTGCTGTTTTTGTATAAGCAAATTTATTCGTACGATGTTGGCACTGCTCCTGCTCCTGCTGCTCTTGCTGCTGTTGTTTGCTTTTCATTTCCGGCCACGTCGACAAATCACAAACAACCAAAAAGGATATTATCTGCAGCAAAACTGTTTCCGTGGCCACACTATCGTCGCTGCGGTGTCCCATCCCCATATTTTTGGGGCAGGCTCTGTCATGTTTATTTGGATAAATAATTTGCAAAAGATTTTTCGTTTTTCATTGTGTGTTTTCCTAATGGTCTTTTAAGTGGTCTCCAGTCCAGATCTTGGTCAGGCTATCAAGCGTGCCACAGATACCCCTTCGGGCAGTCGAATGTAAATTCTTAGCTCACGTGCGCAAATAGAAACCCAACTAATTTCGGGGCTTCAATTTCCAGCACAATTCGAATGCTAATTGGCGGGGCAAATGTTTGTGCCTCTTGTCATCTTGTCCACTTGTCATCATCGTTGACGACTCACTTTAGCCCTGCTGATTAGGCGCGGCGGTCGTTAGTTAGCTTCGAGGCGTGCTGCGGATATGTCTGGAACGGGCAAGAGATTCATGGGCTTCACATTACTGGCCCTAGGCTGTATTTACAGTGCCAGCGCGTCGGCCAATCTGACCGAGTTCCTGGCCCATCGGCAGCGGCGCGGACTTATCTTTCAGAAAAGCGGCTCCATCAAGTTCAGCATAGGGGCCTCGATGCCGATCCCTTTGGGCGATCCCGTGAAGTTCCGCTCTGCGGTCCTTTCGTTCTCCCTGCAGGGCGGCACCTACAGCATGCCCACGAGTCCGATTTGGCCCTGGGACAAGTGGGAGACCACCTTTGCCCGATCTCTGCAGCAAATGAGGCGCAACATCGAGAGGCACACGGCCAGCGGAGCTCTCCGATACGCGGACGACGCACGACAGCTGGTGTACACGGCCCTAGAGGAGTACATGGGCAGGCGGAACAACGACATGGTTGCGGGCAGGCAATGCCTGTTGCGCTCCATATGCGAGAATGCCCAGGTGCATCATCACGTTGGCATCTTCTCCGAAATACTGAACATTGTGCTGAGGTGAGCAAACAATTCGAACTGTTCCAACCTTTCCTTCTGGCATCATTTACCCTCCATCTACCTCCATCACCTCTCTCCTATCCGTGCAGTCCGGGCAAAGCCGATATAGATAACTGCTATCACGATGCCTTTGCGGCTGGACAGGCGGGTGCTAATTGCCTGGCCGTATTTGAGGCCTGTCCACGTGGCCTCAACTTTCTGGACGAGATGTTGGTTGCGGAGCGCAGCTGAAATTTGATTAATTGGATTTTCGCTACGGATCGATTGATGCATTGGATTGGACAACAATAAAGTTTTGGCACAAATCAAAATGCATGTCTTCTGCTTCTTGTTGTTGCGACTGTTGCATAATTTGCGACTCTCTGTCAAAGGCGCACGCAGTGAGCATGTGGCGTGCGGCATGCGGCATGTGGCATGCGGAATGCGGAATGCGGCAGGAAACGGCAATAGGGGCGGCTGCACAAGCAAACCTATAGTACACAAAGGCTAAACAAACATTACAGTTTACACGAAGGTTCCTCAAATGAAATTAGCGGTATTTCGGCATTATGGTAAAAACTTTTAGTTACTACTCTACAGAATCTCATATATTTTGATCACATCCATTTCTGGACACAGAAGCAAACCTGATTAGTTTAATTAACATTAGACACGAATTTTAAAATAATTTTTCCTCTGTTTGCCAACAGAGCTCGATTAGATCAAAAACTAGGAAAACTTGAGTATGCGATTCAACTATGACTTCAAATATTACAATTTAATTTTGTTTACCCACAGTGGATGATCAAAATGGAAATCGGAATTATTATTGAAGAGCTTTTACCTCTCACTTCAGAAAGGAGCTGATTATATACATACATTTAATATACATGCATATGTATTTAAATATTTTGATTCAGATACCTTAAACTGAATGAACTGGTTCTCGAGCAACACTCACCAAATTGTTCTTTGAATTTTCATTTCAGTTTTCCATTTCACGAATTCCCTGTCCGTAGAAACGTCTCTGCCGCTGGATTGTTACCTATTCCTATGCGACATCAGAAGTTCAAATACCGCAAAGTTGCACAACTGCTGCTGCTCTCTCTCTCTCTCTCTCTCTATATATATATCGCTCTCTCTGTCTCCCTCTCTCCTTCTATATATAGCTATGCTTAACTCCCTGTCAACACTGTCCACCCACCGAGTAGCCGCCCCACCGAGCAGCAGCGTTGTTCGCGTTGTCATAATCGCATTTGAATTAGCTGTGCATACAAAACGGCGAGCGATAGTCGTACAGGGTGCTCCAACTGCAGCTGGAGGCTGCTGCCTATGCAGAGGCTGTTGTTGGAGCTGCGCTGGAGTGGAGCACCCGTTGCACCCGGGCGATGTTGTCGCTGTTGTTGTCAGCGCGTTAGCCACCTGGCAAGCCTAATGTGGCACTTAAGACGCATTTATTGTCTGTCTTTCAGCTGTCGTAGTTGCACTAGATGTAGTTGTTGTTGCTGTTGTTGTTGCTGCATTTCCATTTAATTGAAGCCATTGTTGACAAATGGCGGTCACACGCTCGCTGCACAGCATTTAGCTCTCAGCATGCCGCAGCCGCAACCTGCTCGGGGGGCGTGGCAGTGAAGTCAGCTTACACTAGCAAAGAAACTGTGAAACGCATTCCAAATTGTTTTGCATAGTTTGCGCTTTAATTCAAGTTTATTTCAGATTGGACCATAACAGAAACTCAATAATTCACATCCACAGTTAGCTCATCCAAGACGCTGGCGCCTCTGGGACAACCGTGGAACTGGTGCAGACAGTCGACGCCGGCCAGGCCCGCGGCGTGGGCCTCCTTGTAGTGCTGATCGAGTCGCGCCTTGCCGGGTCTGCAATGGGGAAATGAAGCCTTAAGGCAATTGAGATCTTCGATCTACACGACTTACGTTAGCAACAAATTCAGCAGCTCGGCTATGATGCCCACATGGTGATGCACTTGCGCATTCTCGCACATGGCACGGAGCAGGCACTGGCGACCACGACCCGGGACGCTGCTCGCGTTGTCCATGTAGTGCTCCAGGGCGGCGTAGGCAAAGAGGCGTGTGTCATCCTCGTGCGATTCGTCCAGCTGCCGTATCTTTTCCTTGAGAGATCGGGAAAACACGGAATCCCATTTGTCCCACGGGTAGAGGGGTGCCGAAGGCAAATTGTAGCCACCCAAGTGCACCGCCATGAACTCGACAAAGCTGCGCCACTTAACCGGATCATCCAGGTGGACGCCAATCACGGGGCCAAGCAATAAGCGAACGGAGCTTCCGCTGGGGTAGATCAGCTGATGGCGCTTCTGGCGCGCGAGCAAGTAATCCGTTAAGTTCTGGGCAGGTGCTATCACATCGTAGGCACAGTGCAGGACTGGCAAGAGGCCAATGAGCGACAGCAGGCAGATTGTAAAATGCATTGCGAACTGCAAAGACAGTTGTGTGTGGAGTGCACAAAGCGCTGGAAAAACCATCGTCGACAGCTCCGAAACGATCAGAGTTTCGAATGCCGCTATGATGAATGACACAAATAAAATCAATATTTGCGTACATAATTAGCAGATGAATTGGGTTATAAATTCTTCACCTTGGCAGCGCGATTCATACAGCTTGAATAATTTTCCATAATTTACACATAATTATTAATAAATACAATACAAAAACATACCTGATTTATTCTAATCACCTATAATAGTCAATGCAATAAAATAATTGTTTATTCAATTTTGAAATACCCGCTGCATAAATCTGAGCTGCCAACTTGAATAGAATGACATTTTTGCGTGTTGCACTTCCAATTGCCAATGAGATTTAATCTATATATTCTAAGCACTTTTGCTTAGAAAAATGTATTAATCATAACAGGCAACTTATTTCGGTATTCAAATAGTTAGTTGTTGTTAAATTGTCATTCTTAAAATCTGAGCAAAATTTAAAGTGCGCGCTCTTATATCAGCACTGCTGTGCAAGAAATAATAAGATCCACAACATCCTCAAATCAGTGTGACCGCATCCGAATTATGCAAAAATGCCCTACATTAATTTTCAAATACCAAACTAAATGAATTTCGAATTTGGACATTAGGGCTGCAAATCTATCGATGGCTGTTACCGATCTATCGATGGATATTGAATATCCAAGTGTCGCCTTTGCGGTAAAGAATGCAGAACAAGTGGCACATCCAGTGACATCAAATGATTCATCTACTTTAAATAAAAGAGATAAATTTGTAAAATGCCATGACACATATGAAATCTCATCATAAAAAATATTAATATCGACAGAGCGGTTGCTCGAAAATAAATACCTTTTTTATTGTTTTTATTATTGTTTTATTATGTTTTATTATATTGTTTTATTATATTGTTGAATTTTTTTTTTTTTTTAATTAAAGTACAATATAAATTGCGAAATATTTAAATGTAAATAATATAAAACTTTAAAATAAAATGTTCTTCAGCTTTTTAAATTTTCGATGGAACCATCGATATACTCGATAGTTTTTTCCATCGATGGATTTGCAGTCCTACTAGACATGTAAAACAAAGTTTTTCAACAGCGAAAAGTCTGTCTAGTAGGTACCAACAAGTTCGTATTCGCTCGGCTCTTCACTTTTAAGTTTAGGCTACGAAAATATACGAAAGCACAATCATTTCGCTTCATGCGCTCGGCCAAGCTGGTCAAATGTTGAACAAAAGATGTCTTCACGCTCAATTTTGTTCTTGCTTGCATGTGACTCACAAATTGTATTAGTGCTTAAAGAGGGAAGAGGAAGAGTAAACGAAAAAAAATCGTAATAATATCAACTATAAAAGTAGCAAGATCAGTTGGCAGCTGTAACAGACAAGCTGTTGACAGACAAATAGACGACCATCACAGACCACTGTTAAAAGACACAGTAGGTTGCGCAAAAAGCAGTCCCGTTAATTTTAATGTTAACTAACTCTCTTATGACGTCACATATTCAGATTAGATTCATTAGTGCGCGCACTCAATTAAAGCATAGTCTGAGATTTTGTTGTTTACAACTAATAAATAATTATAATCAAAAACCAAAAATGAAGTGTTCGGTGCTAAATTGTAAGAACCATTATGAGAAAAATGATATTTCTTTTTTTTTTTTCGTTTCCTTTAGATATTAAGCTGAAGAGGAAATGGATGGAGTTCTGTGGAAAGTGGCCAAGACAAAATAACTGCCCAATTTGGAAAGTGTGCGAGGCACATTTTGAATCAGAATGCTTGATAGGCAAAGTTCAATGTGGTCCTGGTAAGTAAATCTATAAGAGTTAATTTAATAATAGTATAACTACAAATTAGTTTTGCAGGCTTCTCAAGAAAGCTGCTCCTCAAGCCAGGCGCCGTGCCAACAATTAAAGCCGACCCTGACGGCGCTAATATAAGGCACCGTACACAGCGCTCGGAAGATCATAAGAGGCGGCAACTAGTTAAACAAATTCTAGCTAATAAAGAAAATGTATGTGAGCCTGCGGTTATTGAAGAAGACAATGTTCGACTATTGGAAGCAGAAACGTTATTAGAGGATATAAATAATAATAATGTTTTCCAAAATGAGTTGAAGGAACGCATAATGCTCTTGGAAAGCCAAATAAGAGCATTGCAATCAGAAAATCAGAAGCTGCAAACTGCTTTACGTGATAAAGGCTACGCACATGATAAAGAGTTGCGTAAAAAGGAGTTCGAATTTAGTGAACTACAAAGAAAGTTCGAAAAAGTGGAAAACGACTCCAAAAATATGGAAAACAGCCTGAAAATAATATTTACAGAAAGGCAAATAACAAAATTGAAAAATAAAGACCGAAGGCAAAATTGGAATACTGACGACATTGCCAGGTCAATAATATTTTATTCAGCCAGTCCAAACGGATACAGACTGCTGCGCAGGAATAATTTTCCACTTCCTGCAATAAGAACTTTGCAGCATTGGGCTCAAAAAATTGATATATGCCCCGGAATTTTGGCGCCAGCTGTAAGAATTTTAAGTGCAACTATCCATATGTCCGAAATTTTGAGTTTCGATGAAAGGAAAGTGCGCAGTGTTTATACATACGATAAATCTGCAGACTCTACATTGCCGCCTCTAACTATGTGCAAGTTGCAATGCTGCGAGGTGAGAGTGGACAACAATAATATATTTTATGAAATATTTTTATTAAAATACATTTTCACTTAGGTTTTTCTTTGATGGCAGAAGAGTTTACGTCTTTGCCGATGTGCCGCATCTAATAAAATTGATAAGAAATCATTTTATAGATTCCGAATTTATAATTAATGGGAAATCCGTTAATGCAGCTATCATATCGGAGCTTTTAAATAATTTTGCGGGTGACTTGTCCATCACCCATAAAATAAGCCACAAAAGTTTAACTGCTGCAAGAGCAGAAAGGCAAAAGGTTAAGATGGCAACAAAGCTCTTTTCAAATACAGTCGCTGCAGCTATTCAAAGGGCAGCAAGCCTTGGATACTTAACTGATCATAATTGGGCTGAGTGCTATGAACTTTTTAAAACAGTACGTTAGAATAATATATTTGTGGAACAACATCTTTAAAAAGTCTATTTTTTTCTAGACGAATGACTGGTTCGATGTTCTCAATGTCCGAGTGCCAAGAGCAGATAGCAGGGAGCGAATGCACGCCTTTATAAATAATATTTTGGAAAAAATGAGCTGCCTTATATTGAACATTTAAGTTGGCAGAAATTCAACAATTTTGCCATTTCAAAAAGGTTTGTGCAATGCAGTATTTCTTTATATTGACAAGAATAAAATAGATTTTATATTATAGGTATCCTTAAAACTAACAACGACTTCAAAGATAAAATAACATTCTTATTGACATACCGGCTCAACCAAGATGTATTAGATAACTTCTTTGGTATTATAAGAGCCAGAGGTGGAATGCACGACCATCACGATCGCCAGGAATTTAAATATAGACTTCGGTCATATTTGTTGGGTCGAAATTTTGGCGTGCTCTCCAACAATGCAAATGTGGCGCCAGACAACACACCGGACTTAGAGTCAGCAAGTCCTTCTATGACAGGTATTATTAGCCAGCGCCTACAGATGACGAGGAAGATCTACCAGAATTGGAATACGATGACTTGGAAAATTTGGCTGGATACATTTCCCACCACCTAAAGATGTCAGAGCAGAATGATGGAGATGTAGATTCATCATTTACCTGGGTCGATCAAATCAGTGAAGGAGGGCTTTGCAAACCATCACAGGAAATTATGAATTGTATTAAGAGTTTCGAATTAATTTTCCGTAATTTAAATGGTGATAGCTTGCTTATCACAGAAAATTACACAGAACAAGTAAGAAGGCTCCAGTCGAGACTGCTCGACTAGGAGATACCCTGAACCCTCCAAACTGATATTCTAATCATTCTGCACTTCTTTTATGCACACATACATACACATGCACGTATAAGCACGCGCTCTGCAAACTGCGCAGCTAGCAGCGGCTGCGCTTGGGCTGCACTGCAGTGTGGGCAATATTATGAGAATTTATTTGTTGAATAATTTCTTTTGTAGACATACGATCCTAATGAAACTTTTAAAGCGTAATCATAAAATGTGTGTACATTCCAAAGCACAAGTCTCTAGTACTTGAAATGCGTTTTTTACAAATTGGGGGCGAAGGGGGCGTGGTATCCAAAATCTGTAAATTACAAAATCTTTGTATCTATTAACTTTATATACAACGCAAATTTGACGGACGGACGGACGGACAGGGCTATATCGACTCAGCTCGTCGTCCTGATCAAGAATATGTATACTTTATGGGGTCTGCGATGATTCCTTCTGCCTGTTACATACTTTTCACAAAACCATTATACCCTGATTTCCCATTTTCAATGGGTTCAGGGTATTACGTTCTTTCATTAAGATTGTACGTCTACAAAAGAAATTATTCAACAAATAAATTCTCATAATATTGCCCATATTGCAGCGCAGCCCAAGCGCAGCCGCTGTCTACTGCGCAGTATCAGAGCGCGTGCTTAAAAGTGCATGTGTATGTATGTGTGCAGTCCAGAATGATTAAAATATCAGCTTGGAGAGTTCAGTGTATCTCCTAGTCGAGCAGTCTCGACTGGAGCCTTCTTGTTATTAGATAGGTTCAGGGTAGTATCTAGTCGAGCACTCTTGACTAGAGTTTTCTTACTTGTTTTTTATTATTTTTCCCCGAAGTCCTTCCATGCAATATTTACATATAGAAATATATATTGATATATATTTTTACAAGGTGCTTTTATATCTTTGTGAAAATAGAAGCTTTCGAGTTGTATGGCTTGCGACCATTACACCACCCGATAATATAGCACCGTTAGAGGGAATATTAGCGGGAATATGTTCGGATGTCTATTGCTTAATGTCTTTGGCATGAAAGGTACCGATCTCTTGACCTTGCAAATTCTCTAATAGATAAAAACAATTTCCCAGTTTCTTTTTCAGTCTACATTTTAAAAATTGGGGTGCCAATTTCGCATTAAAATTGTGAGCGAATTTACTAAGTGCAAAATTTCGGCGATACACTTCCTGCCCTTCCTTAAATGCAACAGGCTTAGAACGCAAATTATACTGCTTAACATTTCGTTCATAGGCTTGTTTTATGTTGGCCTGTATATCTTTACGAATTAGGGATAAGTTATCGGATCTAGTTAGTGGTACCAATGGTTCTTCAAGCAATGTTAATTGCTTTATCAACTTATAGTCTGAACCATGAGTAATCATATCTAACCCAAATAAAGCTCTAAAAGGGGAACATCCTATGGATTGATGCAAAGCTGATCGTAATGCACATGAGATACTGGAAATATGTTGGTCCCAATAAGTTTGGTCACTTTCGAGGTACGACCGAATAGCAGCTAATAGAGAGCGATTGACTCGCTCAGCAGCATTGCTCTGAGGGGAGTACAAAACCATATATATATGACGTATTCCCAGTTCCGTTAAAAAAGCATTAAACTCATTGGACTTGAACTGCTGTCCATTATCGCTTACTCTGGTCTCTGGTACGCCAAAACTGTGGAAAAAATGTTTTAAAAGAAAGTCTTGGATAACAGATGATGCAAGTTTTTTCAAAGGCCAAAGCTAATTAAATTTACTGAAATGATCAAATACTATTAATAGTCCCACATGCCCTTTTCTCTTTGGAAATGGCCCTTGGAAATGGCCCTACCATTGGCGGACGGAGAGTATACTTCGGGGCTTCGGATTGTTAGCATACAGAACAATTTTTATTATAATCGCGGACATCCTTTGCTAACCCAGGCCAAAAAAGATTTCTTCGCAATTTTTCGATGGTTTTTTGTATACCCGAGTGTGCTGACATTAAACTATCATGTGCTTACTTTAATGCCTCGCCTTTAAGTGGTTCGGGCACCAATAGCTTCCACAAAAACTTATCCTGAACTTCATCTCCGGTCGAGTGTTCAGTTCGGATATAGATGTTATGATCCACAATTTGTATATCTGGAAAACGTGAACTATTTTGCTCTAGATTAGACTTCAATTGGTTGTACTCATCGGACTGAAATGCCTCTGATTCTAAATTTATGATGAAACTCATTTCTAAAGAAGCGATTTCATTGCAATCGTGCAATCGCGATAAAGCATCGGGCACAATGTGATCCTTTCCCTTACGATACGACATAGTAAACTTATACAGTTGCAAACGAAAAATCTATCTACCTGCGTCCAGAAACGTTCTGTTGTCTCATTAACCACAATAGACTGGAGTGGTCAGTAACGACTTCAAACTCTTGAAGCTCTAAATAGCAACGAAACTTTTCTATAGCGAGAATAACTGCAAGACATTCACGCTCTGTAACACTATAGTTACGCTGCGATCGACTAAGTTTTTTAGACCGGTATTTCTTCATTTTCTTCGAAAAGCTGTTCTAAAACTGCGCCTATTCCAAAATCACTAGCGTCGCAATGCAAAAAGAATTTCTGGTCTAACTTTGGATTTTGCAAAACTGGAGACGTGGTTAACACAGCTTTTAGTTTTTCTATAGCAGTTTGGGCTTCTGGCGTCCAGTTAAACTTCTTTTTAGAAAATTAAACCTCAGTTATAGGACAGGCTAAGTCCGAAAAGTTTTGTATAAGACGGCGATACCAACCACACACACCTAAAAAGTCTCTCACTTGCTTTAAGTTTTTCAGAGGTGGCCAAGAGATTTTATCAGGGTCTGTGCATATGTCTTTTTTGTCAATTACATTACCAAGATAGTTAGCTTTGATGACTGCAAAATGGCTCTTCTCGATATTTAGAGTGACATTAGCTTTCCGAAATTGCTCTGCAATTGTTACTAGTACGGAGATGTGCGAATTAAAATCCTCCAATACAATGCATAAATCATCTAAATATCCAAAGACACAATTCCGTAAATCAGGAGGAATGATTTCATCTATTAGCCTACACATCATTGACGGCGCATTGCACAGACCAAATGGCATGACCTTGAATTGATATAGTGGTCTTCCTGGTACTGAGAACGCTGTCAGTGGCTTTGAGTCATCTGTCAGCCCTATTTGCCAATAGGCGTCTATTAAATCAAGTTTTGAGATAATGTTAGCTTTTGGCAATCTCGAAAAGATTTCATCTATACTAGGCAATGGATATGCGTCCTCTTGGTCACGGCGTTAAGCTTTTGAGCATCTAAACAGAGACGAACTTTGTTTGGTTTTACCACTAATCTCTTATATTGCATGACAACACTCAAAACCCCTATGACGGCTTGATTTGCGCCTCCTGCTGGTTTGACAAAAGATTTGAAACATGGACTCTTTGAAAAGTCGTTTTTCGCTAGAGTAGCGCCAATGCAACTTATATTTGCACCAGTATCTAGAAGGCCTGATTCCTGAAAAAGTATGTAACGGACAGAAGGAGGCGTGGCAGACCCCACAAAGTATATATATTCTTGATCAGCGCGACGACCTGAGTCGATATAGCCCTGTCCGTCTGTCCGTCCGTCCGTCCGTCCGTATGAGTGCGTCGATCTCAGAAGTTATAAGAGCTAGAGAGCTGAAATTTGGCATGCATACTCGTGTGTACCATACGCAGTACGAGTTTGCTTTATTTTTTCGATAAATCATCCGATAACTTTTTTATCGAGAATAATCGAAAATTTTATTTTTTTTAGCCTAATTTAAACATTTTTAGACCTGGAGTCTTCAAATTTGCGTTGTATATAAAGTATATCGATACAAAGATTTTGCAATTTACAGATTTTTAATACCACGCCCCCTTTTCCACCAATTTGTAAGTACTAGTGCAAGTGCATTTCAAGTACTAGAGACTTGTGCTTTAGAATGTACACACATTTTTACCCTATAATTACGCTTTCATTAAGATCGTATGTCTACAAAAAAAATTATTCAACAAATAAATTATCATAATATTGCTCACATCGCAGCGCAGCCCAAGCGCAGTAGCTGCTTACTGCGCAGTTAGCAGAGCGCGTTGTTATACGCGCGTCTGGATTCATGTGTATGTCTATGGTATCTCCTAGTCGAGCAGTCTTGACTAGAGCCTTCTTACTTGTTTTATTTAATTGTAGTTTTTTTTTTATTTTTTATTTTTTTAATTCATTTTTTTTTTAATTTTTTTTTTTTTATTTAATTTTTATTTTTATTTATTTTTTTTTTTATATTTATTTTATTTATCTCTTTCTTTATTTTTTTTATTTTTTCATTGTATTTCTTTATTTAATAGGTCAAATCGATATAAGATATATGAACGAATAGATATATTTATTTCTGAAATAATATTATTTAATAAACAAAATGTTTATTTTTTATTCATGCATGTTTTTTCTTTTTTCAATTCATATTAGATTTAACACATTATATCAATAAAGCAACCCGCAAATGTAAATAGCGGTATACATCTTCGTTAATATAGAGTAATGTGACTAGATTTGAATCATAATTAAGACTATTTGTACTCTTCTGGTCCAGTTGAGTCGTGCAGAGAATCTTTCCAGTTCCAGCTTCGAATGAGATCTTCCCAATTTGTAGTTAAATAAATTTAATATTGTTGGCCCTTCCACTTACCACTTCTAATCGTGCTGTGGTGCTTGTTTATTTTGAACTTAGCCCCAACCCTTCCGCTCCCTCTTGGGTGTCTGACGATTTTTGGGTACGCACCCATAAATAAATCATTCAAATTGTCAACAGGAATTTATTTGCGTTGCGTTTTCGTTTCATGTAAGTTTCTTGCGGTATCCCAAGCGGAAATGGACCACAGAGTGGGGCTCGGAGTGGCAGTAGCAGTGCCAGTGGTAGCGACCAAGGTGATGATCAAGGGTGTCATAAGGACTCTGTAGAGGGGAAGGAGGAGCAAAGGCGAGCTACAGCTTCAGTACATTTTGCTTTTGTCAGAGCTTGTCAGAGCTCAAGTTGCTGGCGACGCAGTCTGTCCCAGTGTCTTTTCGTATTTGTAGATTTATGCAACAGTATGGGTGACTGTATATGTGTGTGTGTGATTGTAGGTGTGCGTGAATGTGTGTTAATGTAATAGTTTATGCTGTTCTGTTGTCATTTTGTTCGCCCTTGCGGTAGGCAGCTTTATTGTAGTTGAGATACCCTAACTAAAGGCAGCAAAAATAACATACAAATAATAATATTTCGAGTGAATGATGTTCCAGTAGGGCATTTACCTTTCAGTATTACAATATTATTGCAATGAATTTGATATTTGCTATTATATCTCTTTTTATTTTCTATGACTTTTCATTAACTTTTATATTGCAATTAATTTATTTTCGCTCAAAAAAAATTATGTTAAAATCAAATTTTTTCTCTAGTTTTATTATTTTCTCTTTCGCTCTCTCTGTTATTGCTATTCCACCTCGTCATTTTACTCTTCACTGAGCTTATTACTTTAGAAGTATAATTCATAATTTTTTTTATTTTATTTTTTTTTTTTTTTTTTCACTAAGCTAAAAGTCCAGATGAAAAGTATTAGAGGAGGAGTTTTATTAATTTCTTTTTAAATCAAGCTAAAGGCCTGGACAAAAAGTGCTAGAATAAGAGCTGATTCCTAAACTCAACTTTAATAAATTAATAATAAATTTACTTTATTTTCAATTTTACTATATACTATATATAATTTGTATAAATAATTGTTTTACTATATATATTTTCATTTCATTCATATTTGTAAATAAATTATATTTTATTAATATGCAATTAATTTTCTTTTATTTTTTGTTATTATCTAGTATATTAATTTACAATAAAATATATAAAAATAATAATAAAAATGATCTAAAAATAAAATATATACAAATAATAAAAAAAAATGATCTAAAAATATTTGTGATAGCTCAACAATAATATAATATAATATTAAATGTTTGAAAACTTCTGCTGTTGATTATATAACTATTGTTTACCATATTTTTATTGGGGCGTTTAATCTAAATATTCTGGATGAAGATTGCACAATGAATTAGATTAAAGTGTGTGCACATGTGTCTCACCTAGTCAGGCCGATTTGCAGAGACGATATTTCTTGGCTGCTGCTGTTTTTGTATAAGCAAATTTATTCGTATGATGTTGGCACTGCTCCTGCTGCTGCTCCTCCTGCTGCTCCTCCTGCTGCTCCTGCTGCTGTTGTTTGCTTTTCATTTCCGGCCACGTCGACAAATCACAAACAACCAAAAAGGATATTATCTGCAGCAAAACTGTTTCCGTGGCCACACTATCGTCGCTGCGGTGTCCCATCCCCATCTTTTTGGGGCAGGCTCTGTCATGTTTATTTGGATAAATAATTTGCAAAAGATTTTTCGTTTTTCATTGTGTGTTTTCCTAATGGTCTTTTAAGTGGTCTCCAGTCCAGATCTTGGTCAGGCTATCAAGCGTGCCACAGATACCCCTTCGGGCAGTCGAATGTAAATTCTTAGCTCACGTGCGCAAATAGAAACCCAACTAATTTCGGGGCTTCAATTTCCAGCACAATTCGAATGCTAATTGGCGGGGCAAATGTTTGTGCCTCTTGTCATCTTGTCCACTTGTCATCATCGTTGACGACTCACTTTAGCCCTGCTGATTAGGCGCGGCGGTCGTTAGTTAGCTTCGAGGCGTGCTGCGGATATGTCTGGAACGGGCAAGAGATTCATGGGCTTCACATTACTGGCCCTAGGCTGTATTTACAGTGCCAGCGCGTCGGCCAATCTGACCGAGTTCCTGGCCCATCGGCAGCGGCGCGGACTTATCTTTCAGAAAAGCGGCTCCATCAAGTTCAGCATAGGGGCCTCGATGCCGATTCCTTTGGGCGATCCCGTGAAGTTCCGCTCTGCGGTCCTTTCGTTCTCCCTGCAGGGCGGCACCTACAGCATGCCCACGAGTCCGATTTGGCCCTGGGACAAGTGGGAGACCACCTTTGCCCGATCTCTGCAGCAAATGAGGCGCAACATCGAGAGGCACACGGCCAGCGGAGCTCTCCGATACGCGGACGACGCACGACAGCTGGTGTACACGGCCCTAGAGGAGTACATGGGCAGGCGGAACAACGACATGGTTGCGGGCAGGCAATGCCTGTTGCGCTCCATATGCGAGAATGCCCAGGTGCATCATCACGTTGGCATCTTCTCCGAAATACTGAACATTGTGCTGAGGTGAGCAAACAATTCGAACTGTTCCAACCTTTCCTTCTGGCATCATTTACCCCGCCCTACCTCCATCACCTCTCTCCTATCCGTGCAGTCCGGGCAAAGCCGATATAGATAACTGCTATCACGATGCCTTTGCGGCTGGACAGGCGGGTGCTAATTGCCTGGCCGTGTTTGAGGCCTGTCCACGTGGCCTCAACTTTCTGGACGAGATGTTGGTTGCGGAGCGCAGCTGAAATTTGATTAATTGGATTTTCGCTACGGATCGATTGATGCATTGGATTGGACAACAATAAAGTTTTGGCACAAATCAAAATGCATGTCTTCTGCTTCTTGTTGTTGCAACTGTTGCATAATTTGCGACTCTCTGTCAAAGGCGCACGCAGTGAGCATGTGGCATGCGGCATGTGGCATGCGGCATGTGGCATGCGGCATGTGGCATGCGGCATGTGGCATGCGGAATGCGGCAGGAAAAGGCAATAGGGGCGGCTGCACAAGCAAACCTATAGCACACAAAGGCTAAACAAACATTACAGTTTACACGAGGGTTCCTCAAATGAAATTAGCGGTATTTCGGCATTATGGTAAAAACTTTTAGTTACTACTCTACAGAATCTCATATATTTTGATCACATCCATTTCTGGACACAGAAGCAAACCTGATTAGTTTAATTAACATTAGACACGAATTTTAAAATAATTTTACCTCTGTCTGCCAACAGAGCTCGATTAGATCAAAAACTAGGAAAACTTGAATATGCGATTCAACTATAACTTCAAATATTACAATTTCATTTGTTTGTTTGTTTGGATGATCAAAATGGAAATCGGAATTATTATTGACGAGCTTTTACCTCTCACTTCAGAAAGGAGCTGATTATATACATACATTTAATATACATGCATATGTATTTAAATATTTTGATTCAGATACCTTAAACTGAATGAACTGGTTCTCGAGCAACACTCACCAAATTATTCTTTGAATTTTCATTCCAGTTCTCCATTTCACGAATTCGCTGTGCGCACTAACGTCTCTGCCGCTGGATTGTTACCTATTCCTATGCGACATCAGAAGTTCAAATACCGCAAAGTTGCACAACTGCTGCTGCTCTCACTCTCTCTCTCTCTCTCTATATATATATCGCTCTCTCTGTCTCCCTCTCTCCTTCTATATATAGCTATGCTTAACTCCCTGTCAACACTGTCCACCCACCGAGTAGCCGCCCCACCGAGCAGCAGCGTTGTTCGCGTTGTCATAATCGCATTTGAATTAGCTGTGCATACAAAACGGCGAGCGATAGTCGTACAGGGTGCTCCAACTGCAGCTGGAGGCTGCTGCCTATGCAGAGGCTGTTGTTGGAGCTGCGCTGGAGTGGAGCACCCGTTGCACCCGGGCGATGTTGTCGCTGTTGTTGTCAGCGCGTTAGCCACCTGGCAAGCCTAATGTGGCACTTAAGACGCATTTATTGTCTGTCTTTCAGCTGTCGTAGTTGCACTAGATGTAGTTGTTGTTGCTGTTGTTGTTGCTGCATTTCCATTTAATTGAAGCCATTGTTGAAAAATGGCGGTCAGACGCTCGCTGCACAGCATTTAGCTCTCAGCATGCCGCAGCCGCAACCTGCTCGGGGGGCGTGGCAGTGAAGTCAGCTTACACTAGCAAAGAAACTGTGAAACGCATTCCAAATTGTTTGGCATAGTTTGCTCTTTAATTCAAGTTTATTTCAGATTGGACCATAACAGAAACTCAATAATTCACATCCACCGTTAGCTCATCCAAGACGCTGGCGCCTCTGGGACAACCGTGGAACTGGTGCAGACAGTCGACGCCGGCCAGGCCCGCGGCGTGGGCCTCCTTGTAGTGCTGATCGAGTCGCGCCTTGCCGGGTCTGCAATGGGGAAATGAAGCCTTAAGGCAATTGAGATCTTCGATCTACACGACTTACGTTAGCAACAAATTCAGCAGCTCGGCTATGATGCCCACATGGTGATGCACTTGCGCATTCTCGCACATGGCACGGAGCAGGCACTGGCGACCACGACCCGGGATGCTGCTCGCGTTGTCCATGTAGTGCTCCAGGGCGGCGTAGGCAAAGAGGCGTGTGTCATCCTCGTGCGATTCGTCCAGCTGCCGTATCTTTTCCTTGAGAGATCGGGAAAACACGGAATCCCATTTGTCCCACGGGTAGAGGGGTGCTGAAGGCAAATTGTAGCCTCCCAGGTGCACCACCACGAACGCGACAAAGCTGCGCCACTTATACGGATCATCCAGCTGGATGGCAGACACGGGGACAAGCAACAGGCGAATGGAGCTTCCTCTCGGGAAAATCAGCTGGCGCTTCTGGCGCGCGAGCATGTAAGCCGTTAAGTTCTGGGCAGGCGCTATCACATCGTAGGAGCAGTGCAGGACAGGCAAGAGGCCAATGAGCGATAGCAGACAGATTGTAAAATGCATTGCGAACTTCAATGACAGTTGTGTGTGGAGTGCAAAAAGCGCTTGAAGAATCATCGTTGATAGCTCCGAAACAATCAGAATTTCGAATGCCGCTATGATGAATGATACAAATAAAACCAATATTTGCGCACACAATTAGCAGATGAATTGGGTTATAAAGCTTGGCACCGCGATTCATGCAGCTTGAATAATTTTCCATAATTCACATATAATTATTAATAAATACAATACAAAAACATATCTGAATTATTCTAATCACTAATAGTCAATGCAATAATAATAGTAATAAAATAATAGTTAATTCAATTTTGAAATACCCGCTGCATAAATCTGAGCTGCCAACTTGAATAGAATGACATTTATGCGTGTTGCAATTGCCAATTGCCTATAAGATTTAATCTATATATTCTAAGCACTTTTGCTTAGAAAAATGTATTAATAATAACAGACAACTTTATTTCAGTATTCAAATAGTTAGTTGTTGTTTAATTATATTCTTAATATCTGAGCAAAATTTGAAGTACGCGCTCTATTATCTGCGCTGCCAACCTTGCTTATAATAAATGGGCAGCGCTGTGCAAGAAATAATAAGATCCACATCCTGAAATCAGTGTGACCGCATCTAAATTATGCAAAAATGGGCCTACATTAATTTTGAAATACCAAACTAAATGAATTTCGGCCACACCTTATCGAGCTAGCATTCAACTTCATTAGACATCTGTTCAAAAATTAACTTGAAAAATGAGCAACGAAGCGGCTAAAGCCCAGATCGCCCAAGAGAAAATTGTCGCCCAGTTCCAACAGCTGCGGAATGAACAAAGAAACCTGGCCAACAGCCTCAATACGCTGGAAATGGATCTTCGCGAACACAAGTGAGTCAGAAGGGACCGCTAAACCTAACCTCCAAAATATCAAATATAAACAACAAATTGTCGATATCCATATATTCCAATAGAACTGTGATAGAAACACTGAATGCAGTGGACCCCGACCGCAAGTGCTTCCGCCTCATCGGTGGCGTGCTGTGCGAGCGCACCGTTAAAGACGTCCTGCCTCAGCTCATGGAAAACAAGGAATTCATTGCGAAGACCATCGCGACTGTCACAGCTGATCTGAGCAAAAAGGGCGTGGAGCTGAACAAATTCAAGGAGGAGCACAACATCAAAATACGCGGTGAACAAATAGGCACCGACGCCGCCAAACCGGCGGACACGGATAACGCCAGCAAATCGGAAAATCGCAACGTGCTGGTCTCCTAATCGAAGCCAAGAAATAAACACCAAACAGCAGACGAGATGTACGAGGAGAACGAAGCGTATTTATTGTGTCCATTGAGGTTCTTTGTGCGGCGGCACTACAATAATGAATGCATTGATTATGATTCTAATGTTATATGTAATTTTAGCTATAAGGCGCCGTTACACACGCAAATGTCAATCATCCATGTCCCGACCCACCCCACCACCCCACTCACGATTCCACATTCACACCACCCACTCATTGATTCACACACATTCACATGCATAACTCTCACCCGATCGGCCCACAATTAAAACAAATAGAGCTAATTTGAAATGGCAAATGGATGCACAAGCTGAGTGATTTTATTGACGCTGGTAATCCCGCTTGCCGCCCGACTTGCTGAGCAAGCGCACATTCTGGATGCAGATGTCGTGGGAGACGGCCTTGCACATGTCGTAGACGGTGAGCGCGGCCACTGAGACGGCCATCAGGGCTTCCATTTCAACGCCAGTCTGGCCGCTGCAGCGCACAGTGGCTACCAGGCGCACGGAGTGTTGCTGCTCCAGTAGCGTGGCCTGCACCCGCACCAAGGATAAGGCAATATTGTGGCACAGCGGTATCAGGAGCGACGTTTGCTTGGCCCCCATGATGCCGGCCAGCTGTGCCACGCTGAGAACGTCGCCCTTGGCCAGTTCGTTGGCTGCAATCAGCGCTGTCAGACGCTCGCCCACAAGAACCGTGGCCTCGGCGCTGGCCGTGCGGGTGGTATGAGCTTTGCCGGCGACATCCACCATTTGCGCCTTGCCTTGGGCGTTGATGTGCGTCAATCCACTGCAGTTGCGCAGCTGTGCGTGCTGTGGTTGATGAGGGTGAAGCATGGTCCTGCTGCCGATCCTGTAGCTGCCGATACCTGCAAGCAAACAGTTCGTTCTAGGGGAATGGTGTGCAATCTCTGTGCTAGCCGCCTATGAGTATCATTGGGCGATTTTCCATTTGCGACAGATTCAGCATGCCTGCGTAGGATTAATGCGCCCATTAATACAGACAACTACAAATGGTGATCCCCAACAATTTGACACCCACCTGCATGCTGTCGCTTCTTGCGCTGCACTGCGGCGCCTATGAGCTCGACCAGCTGCTGCTCCGTGCACCCCTCGCTACGCATGGCGTCGCGCAGCGAGAACTCCTTGTTGCCAAAGAGGCACACCTTGATGTTGCCGTCGGCCGTCAGGCGCAGGCGATTGCAGGTGCCGCAGAAGTGCTCAGTCATGGAGGTGATGAAGCCCAGTTGGCCAGCAAAGCCAGGCACCGCATACGCCTTGGAGGTGTCATTCGGTCCGTTGGGCAACGCCTGGAACTCGGGCCATCGCTGACGAATAGTCTGCACCGTTTCGCTGTAAGAGATCAGGCGCTCCGTCTGCCACTTGTTGCCCGAGAAGGGCATATATTCTATGAACCGCACGTCCACGGGTCGCTCGCGGGTGAATTCGACAAAGTCGCAAATCTCATCCTCATTGAACTTGCGCATCAGCACGCAGTTGATCTAGAATTATGTATCATGAGTCGCCCTATTGAGAATGATAATATTTAGTCTATATTATGCTGACCTTTGGTCGGTAGCCGAGCTGAATGGCCAGATCGATGCCCGCGATGACCCGCTCCCAGCCCTTGCGGCGCGTTATCTGCTCAAAGCGCTCCTTGCGCAGCGTGTCCAAGCTGATGTTCAGCGAATCCAGGCCAGCGCGCTGCAGCGGCACCAGTAAGCGCGTCAGCACCAGCCCATTGGTGGTGATGCCCACATGCTCGAGCTGGGGCAGCGCCTTCAGCTGAGCCACCACCTCCACTATGTCGCGCCGCACCGTCGGCTCGCCGCCCGTCAGACGTATCTTGCGCACGCCCTGCTCCACGAAGATGCGCGCCAGGCGCAGCACCTCCTCGGTGCTCAGCAGCTGGGACTTGGGCTGCAGCGGCACACCCTCGGCCGGCATGCAATAGTCACCTGTAATTGAAGAGCCGAAAGTATTTCACCACTGCTTATCAGCGACGAGCACTCAAAGTCTGGCACTCGGACAGATAACGTCCTCACCCAATCGGGCAGCACTGAAGTGGACTTACAGCGCAGGTTGCAGCGCTCGGTGAGCGAAATCCTCAGGTATGTGTGATGCCGCCCAAACCTGTCTGTCAGGGGTGAGGCGGCAGCAGCGCTCTATGTACGAATGTCATTCACACAGATTAATCAAAGTCTATTTTATATAAATTATATGATAATCACCTGCGTGACAGCCGCTTCCAGCGCATTGTTGTCGCTCTTAATATCGAGTTGTGCACCTGTTGCCGCACTCTCTGCCGCCGTCGCCAGTTTGTGGAACTGGGAACCGGTTGCCATGTTTGCCGCCTGCCGCCTTAGCTGTGCCGTGCATTGACGCAGCCACAGGTCCGAGCGTTTCACCAGCAATCGCATTTGATGGACGTTTCTACGTTGTTGCCTCTAATCAGAGACTATTGACACGGCCGATGGATTACCTAACCTACAATTCGATGCTGGGGGCTTGCCGCCTGGATTCCGCTGTGCCATCAAAACATTCCAATTAGAAGCAATTCTGATAAGCATGCACTTAGACTCGGCAATGTGCTTACGCTTACCTCACAAGCGAAAGCGTTTGTAATTCCAACTCGAATAGCTCCGCACCGGCGAAAATACGAACATCAACAGCCGAGCGTTGTTTATAAACTGAACGCTTTGATCATATGGCATTTGTACACCGCGAGCTTTGGTCCGAAAGCTCTGCAAATCCATCTAAGCGCACGCACACAGTTGAAAGTTGTATTGGTGTAACAAGTCTAATTAATGAACAACCAATTTGTAATCTACTACGCTGGCGGGTAGCCCTACTATATGAATGATTTCATCTTATCGGACATTTCATATGAAAATATAAATGTAATAATACATAAAATATATGAGTAAGTAAAGATCTTATAAAATAAACAAGTAAGAAGGCTCCAGTCGAGACTGCTCGACTAAGAGATACCCTGAACCCTCTAAGCTGATATTCTAATCATTCTGCACTTCTTTTATGCACATGCATCCACACGCACGCATAAGCCCGTGCTCTGCTAACTGCGCAGTAAGCAGCGACTGCGCTTGGGCTGCGCTGCAGTGTGGGCAATATTATGTGAATTTCTTTGTTGAATAATTTCTTTTGTAGACATACGATCTTAATGAAACTTTTAGAACGTAATCATATGGTGAATATGTGTGTACATTCCAAAGCACAAGTCTCTAGTACTTGAAATGCGTTTTTTGTAAATTGGGGGGAAAGGGGGCGTGGTATCTGTAAAATCTGTAAATCTGTAAATGACAAAATCTTTGTATCGATTGTCTTTATATACAACGCAATATTGAAGACTCCAGGTCTAAAAGTGTTCAAATTAGGCTAAAAAAACAAAATCAATTTTTCGATTATTCTCGATAAAAAAGTTATCGGACGATTTATCGAAAAAATAAAGCAAACTCGTACTGCGTATGGTACACACCAGTATGCATGCCAAATTTCAGCTCTCTAGCTCTTATAACTTCTGAGATCGACGCACTCATACGGACGGACGGACGGACGGACAGACGGACAGGGCTATATCGACTCAGCTCATCGCGCTGATCAAGAATATATATACTTTGTGGGGTCTGCCACGCCTCCTTCTGCCCGTTACATACTTTTTCACAAAACCATTATACCCTGATTTCCCATTTTCAATGGGTTCAGGGTATAAAAATAAAGCATATTTTGAATGCTTTTAAGTTTTTATAAAAATTTTATTTATTTAGTTTTATATACATATATGTATATTCCATTCCACATTTGGTTATATATATGTATATATATTACATATATCAAAAATAATACAAAAACAAATTTTTTGCTGAATCAATTAGAAATTTCGGTCGTTGCACACATTCATAAAACTTCAT